TCTCTCTCTCCGCTTTCTCTCTCTCTCTCTCTCACACACACACACACACACACACACACACACACACACACACACACACACACTATCAATCAATCAATTAATCAATCAAATCAATCAATCGATCAATCAATCAATCAATCAAATCAATCAATCAATCAAATCAATAAATCAATCAATCAACCAAACCAATCAAGATCCTATCGATCTTGACTGGTTTGATTGATTGATTGATTGATTGATTGATTGATCTGATTGACTCTCTCTCTCTCTCTCTCTCTCATACACACCAACACACACACACACACACAACACACACACAAATACACACACACACAGACACACACACACACACACAAGAGGACACACACACACACACACACACAAGAGGACACACACACACACACAAGAGGACACACACACATGCACACCAACCCCAGGCTGACCCCTCAATTTTTGCATCTTAATTTTTGTTAAACACCCTATTCCCCGAACAAACCCGAAAAATATTTCTAAAAAAATACAGGACGACTCAGCGACCATGTCCCTATTGATAAAAAATGAGATTTTTTTCTTTTTCTTTTTTAATTTGTTTAAATTTAGGTTACCAGAGTGGCCCGGGGTCACTTACCCGGCCGGTCCAAAATTAATAATAAAAATAAAAAAAATAAAAAATACTTTAAACTAGTTTTTATATTTTATTTTTTATTGTAAATTTGGTGACGAATTTTGATGTGACCTTGAGGCAAAAGTTGTTCAAATTATTTTTCTGCATAACATAGTTTGTTTTTCGATTGTTTGGATTTTTTATTTTTTATTTTTTTGCTGGGACCTTCTTTGGTCCTTGCACGGGCTGGTCACCCGGGACCCGGGAGGCCTGGCTGGTAGCCTAGGTTTAAATCAATTTTTGTTTTTTATTTTTTTTAAATGTTAAACGAAGTCAGATTCCAAAATAAAAAATATAGGATTGTAGAGGTTTCCAAGCCCTAGAACCCTATATTTTTTATTTTTCTTAACGTATTTTTAGGGGTATAAAAAAATATTAAAAAAACAGGTTGCGAACCGGGCCTCATTGGTCGCGGCCGCGGCCGCGGTGGCCGAATTGCCCGCGGCCTGGGCCGCGGGTATCATGTAGCTCCTTGTCTAAAACCGATTGCACTTGCATACTGGTACTGGAAGACATCCTTGAAAGCTATCATGTTGAGTTTGGTCAAGATAATTTGATCAACTGAAAATGAAATAATAGTACTCGTGTGCCGAGATAGATATTGAAACTGATGTGAATGATGATGAACTCAGGTTGACAGTTATCAGAGAAATGTTGATAATAATTTCTTTGACTTAATGTCGTTGATAAAAGTGGCGATTGATTGATATTGCTCTGAGAGATATCCAATAGTAACTGAATGATTAATGAACTCAGATTCATATGATGTCTTAGTTTATTGGAAACTGTTACGTAACTAATCATTGACTATCGACCACTGACAACTAGATGTAGATGAAAGTTCTAAATTATTGTGTAATACGTGCTGAATG